TGTTGTGAGAGGGATCGCAGTTTGGAAAGGCGCTTTCTCTCCATCGACTGCTAGAGAACGTGGCATCTTGTCGGTTGATGTGGAAGCACAGGACATTTCTCATCCCGTGTTTAATCTCAACCTTTCTCTGGTGGCAGGTAGTTCTCTTCGGTGGCTCCCAGGGCTCTTAACCTGCGGGTCACCATTAAACATCTCGGTTTCTAAAGCCGACAGCACGGTCCTGTTTCACACGGATGCTGGTTTCACCGAACCCCTCCGTTGGCACCTCCCTCGTGAGTTTTGCGCTCTTCACCATTACAGAGATGATTGGGTTTGTCAGGGAAGGGAAGAAAAGTGTCCCCTTGGGTCCCTCCTCAGGGGTCCCCCCGGATGCCTTATTAAAATTCCTTTCGACATTGGATTTTCCAGCCCTTTCTGAGGAACGGTCTTGGGCTGGGGGAAGGGAACTGAGCTCTTGGCTTTTCTAGCCAAACATTTGGAATATTTCTCTGAAAACCCCTGTTGACACTTTCTTCATTTCACCCTGACAGCTTGAATTAGGTTTTATTAGGAAGCTTGGCTACAAAGCCAGCAGCAAGTTTTCTTTCTCTTCTCTTTCTTTTTCTTCTTTGGTTGTCATTTACCTTGCACCCTGGAGTGATTGGGGTCAGGCCGTCAGTCATGGGAGGCCTGAAGGTCATGACTACTGCTATGGGATACGGGACATCAGCTGTCATTAACCCAGACAGGCCGCTTGAATACTCTGCGGTCTTTTTCCTGAAGAACAGAGCCCGTGGCAGAAAACGGAGCTCGTGTTTTTTTCTAATTATTTCTTTAAACTGGCTCCTTGTATTTGTTGGACAGGAGCATTCTCCCTTATGTTGATAGGCTTTTGAAAGTTATTTTGCTTTTCAAGTATTCAAAGACAATTTGAGCTTACGATGCATTTATAGGGGTCGCAAATCAAGCTAGTAGTTTGATTAGGAGAGAGAAAACCTCCTTTGTATTTTCAGCAGTTCTGCCTTTGTTAAAAAACGTTTCTTTTGAGCTCATCAAGGAGATGTCTTTAAAAGTATCCACTTGTTGGAAAGCTTCTGCCAGTTCCCTTGGAATTCCCCATGTGAAAGATAAGGAATATCTTTGGAAAACAGTGGGTGGAAGGATGAGATATCAGCTCTAATCGACCAGGACTTTGATTCTTTGGTTTGGGTTTGGGTTTTTTTTCAAACAAAGCGCCAATCCTGAATACGCCTGGAATAGAATTTTTAAAGTGCTGCAAATAATATAAGTACATAAAGTTATTAAAAATAAAGTAAAATAAAATAAAAAATCAGAGGCTTGAACACCTCAGTGAGGGTTCTGGAAGCCCACTTTAGGAGAGGGGAGATACATGTGATTACTTTGACAGCTCACACTATTGCTTCTGTGTTACCAGCGCTCTGCGGTTGTAGGCTAAGCCTGGTCACAAAGTTGTAGATCAAACTGACGTCAGACATACGTAGCGAGCAGACCACGTAAAAAACACTGTTAATTTGGGGGTTTCGTTTTCTTCTTGCATATTCAGAATGGAGATCGGAACTTCCTGTTGAACCAAGACCCAGCCTCTACCTCACAGTCAAGGGTTGGCGTCAGACAGCTGGCCAGAACCATTACTCTGTGCTAGCAGGCTCCACTGGTCTGGGCACTGGGTCTGGGCTGACTACTAGCAGTAGTGAGCTACTACTTGGTTCATCCTTTCCACTGGGAGAGTGCTGGGCGAGGCAACGGCTGACGCCCATCGCCCCCGTTGTCACCCTCACTTACCTCTTATGGTGAACCAAGGACAATTTGGGGGATCGCAGTTCAGCGCCTGGTCAAATCCTGCTCTTTTTTTTCTTTTTTTCCAAGGAATGCTTCCATTTCTTTTCCATACCTTCTGTGTGGACCCCATGGGAGATGTCGCAGATCCTTCCGCTCTGGTGGAAACTAACTGCAGGGGTAACCAGGCTGCTTGACCCACCATGAAACTGAAGTTACAACCTGATTTTCTGGTTTATGCAGCCAACACACAAAATGCGAATGGGAAACCTTTGGAAATGGTGTTTGTATGCAGAGAAAGCTCGGTTTGAAGTGCTTGGAGAGAGTAAAAGCAACATGGAATTGCTAAGATGTATTATTAAGCACTACTTGCTTATGCCTTGGAGACTATCACAGTTGGGATCATAGAATCATGGAATCATTTAGGTTGGAAAAGACCTTTAAGCCCATCCAGTCCAACTGTTCCCCCAGCACGGCCAAACCCAGTACGAACCCATGTCCCTGAGCACCTCGTCCACACGGCTCTTCGATCCCTCCTGGGATGGGGACTCCACCACCTCCCTGGGCAGCCCCTTCCAGGGCCTGACAGCCCTTCCCGGGAAGGAATTAAGATGTTTCTGCAGCTGAAGTGAGCAATTAAAGCAAACCCTTGATTTGCAAAGCATTTGGTGACACGGCAACCTCGTGCCGTCAGCGCTAGCTCTGGCGTCAGGCAGAGGCCAGCAGCATCCCACTCCTGCCAAAAGCATGACTGTCACGGGGTGTACATGTAGCCAGACAGTAACTGGCTTGTTTAGTTTTGATGCCCTGGTGACAGGTTGACATTTGAATTAAAAAAAGCAAGCTTTTCCAGCGCGACGTATTTGATTGCTGTGTTGGTTTACTGAGAAGAGCTGACAAAACGTCCAAAAGCCCTTGTTTTTCATCTGTGGTCAGTTCCAGTAGGTGCTGGAGGCTCCAGCCACCAGCTCCTCTTCCAGCCTCAGCCGTTCTGCACCTCCACCATCCTTAGGGATGGGCATTTGTGGATTTTCCAGGCAGAATCCCGAAAGGGCCACAGTGCTTGTACAAAGGCACGGCTTTGTGTATGTTTGCCCCCTACACTGTTTTTTCTTCACCCTTTCTGAGCGTGAGTCCGGCCCTTTTTGCTCCCCAGCCCCCTTTCCCAGTTCCCACGCTGCTCCGGCAGCAGCCAGCAGCTGCCCCCGGTGTCACAGGGTTCCTTTGTACCACTCCTTCGCTTTAAATCTGCTTTTTACCATCTGCAGCTCGTCACAGGGTTAGATTTTAGTGTATTTGCTATATTTAACCATGCTATTGTCTGGTGGAAGGGACTGGGGACAATCTGGTTCTGCCTGGGAGGGGATGTGCATGCATGTGTGGTGGGTTTGGGGTTTTTTTTGTTTAAGTAAAACCTTATTTGAGAGCCCTATCCATAGCACAAAGACCAGGAAAATGAATTGATTGCTTTCTTCTCCGCTCCCCCCTTTTGATTTCTGTCGCACACTTTAAAAAACCCAAATGTGTCACCTTCGCTCGCACATCAGAACCCTTTGAGGAGCCAAGGGATCCATCTGGGAGGTGGTGTGGGCTAGTCCTGATCATCCCTGCCACAAGATGCGCTTCTCTGCTAAGCAGGAGGAAAATAAACTCTCAGGGATCAGTGGTGATGATCTAGAAGAAACCCACGCTAAGACTTTGGCTGATGACATTGAATTTAAATTATCAGGAGCTAGGTCCTGCCGAGGTGCTGGCCCTGCTCCGCTTGCATCCAGCTGGGAAGGAGACAGTGGTCAACCCTTGGCAGGCGTGTAGCTCAGAAAAGCAGACTTCTGAATGTCAGGGAAAAGGAAATATTAGAGAAACCTGTCGGGGAGCGCAGCGCGGCGAGCAGCGCCGGGCGTGCGGGGAGTTGTGCAGCTGGGCTTTTGCTTGGGAAAGCTGCAGCAAGACACGGCTTGCTCGGTCTCGCGGAAATACGAGCATGACTGTGCTCGGAGGTGCGAGCGGGGAGCAGTATTTCCCACCTCTTCTGGGAATTTGGGGGGATTTCAGTGCGATTCTCATGCAACAGCACAAGGAAGGTCCTGAATGACTTGAAAAATGTAGCTGACTGAAGGATGTGCAACACCCAGGGAAGACGAGGGGTCCAGGAGGCTGCCGTGAGCCCAGGTTGCTGATGGAGAAGGCTCAGTCTCACTTTTCCAAGCTGATGGCGCTGGGAGACCAGTGCTTGGCTCCGTTCGTTTGCTCTGACGTTAAATAGGCACAGAAACTTGGGAGGTGTGAGCTGGACGAGGGCTGGCAGTGCCTCTCCCGGCACCAGCAGGCACCCCAGTACAGCACCCCGAGATCACCCCCATCGCACGCCGGCGGTCGGTGACTGCAAAGTTTGCTTTTGCTTCTCATGTCCACTCCTGCTTTGTCATCTGGGCCGTTTGTCAGGTGAAACGGGAGAAGGAGCAAAAGGTCACGGCCTTGATTTACCGGGAGCCTTAAAGTTATTAATGCTTCACCGCGTTCCAGTGGATGTTCTTTGCCCTCAGCCGCCTGTCACTGTGCTGCCAGAGATAAAGGCCTGTGGTGTCAGGGCTAATGCAGGGCCCACGGGAGATCAAAGGAGCCTGCGCGGGTGTGGGTTTCCAAAACCTTTGGAAAGGAGAAGTTTCACCTTGCTGGCGTGCGTCTCGGCGGGGCAGAAAGCCAAACCCCCCGACTTCAGCGATGCTGCAGTGACAACTGCAAAGGGCCCGAGCATATGGCGAGAGCTTCCAGTCTGGTTTAGTTAAAGAAAAAGCCATGAGGAGGTTTGGGCAGGTATTTTTGGGAGCTTGATTTGGTTTTTTCCCCCCTCATCGCAAGTCTTTGGTCCCTTTCACCTTGTGTCCTGAATGTGCAAGGCTCCAGCGTTGCGTGCAGGGCGATGGCTGGGCCGCTGACACTGCGGGCAGCTCTTAACCGTGCTGGGCTGGCCCCTCTGGGAGGAGAGGCTCAGGGATGCAGGTTTGCCTGCACTAGTCCCCCTTCCTTATAGTCATGTACACAGAAAGGCCTGAATTGTTAGTATTTTGGTATATATTGGTATATCAGTGGCTCTAAGTGGTCTACGGATGATCAAGCATAAGCCAGTGGAGGATGAGGAAGGAGACCAGGTGATGAGGGCTCCAGGTGATTTTATATTCACGGAGAATTTTGAAATCTTTCTTTTAAATTCTGCTTTTCAGCTCCACCGAAGTTGATGACATGATTAGAAAATCTACAAATCTGCTGCTGACCCGAACGCTGAGCAACTGTTTACAGAACGTCATCAAGAGGAAAAACGTCGGACTGACGGAGGTAGGACACGGCTTCAAGGAGACCCATTTCAAGGGCAGGGTGGGAGAGGGGGGTTTGATGTTGTGGAGCTCCTTACAGCACCTTTAGAGGAGCTGGTCTGGAGCATTATGATAAAATAATAATGCTGGAAAACAGTGACGGAACCACATGGCATTGTTGTACAAAGAAACAAGGGCTTAATCCTGCAGGAAGGAGGAAGCATTTTTGCTGTTGCTGTTAGAATTGCCCCTCTTGTGGATTTGCAGAGCGTTATGTATCTGAATTAAAGTGGCAGGTAAGAGGACTTCAAAGAGTGCCAGGGAAGAGCCAAGTGGGAGCTAGGAGAGGATGGGGGAGTGTTCCACATCCATAGGTGATGTTGGAGATGGTTTCAGCACATCACTACAGTATAAGCCCTATACTGACATTTTGTATTGTGACTGATGCTTTTTTGTGCACAAAGTCAGATTTCTGAAAAGTTTAAATCACATAAATCATGGCTTTGGGAAGGTGTGTGGTACTCGGGGCAGTTTGCATACCTTAGTGGGGCAGCTGTGTGCTGTTACTCCATCAGTAGGCATGTTTAAATCACGTAAATCATGGCTTTGGGAAGGTGTGTGGTACTTGGGGTGGTTTGGATACCTTAGTGGGGCAGCTGTGTGCTGTTACTCCATGAGTAGGCATTATTACAGTTACAGTTATTTAATTGTCGTGTTCCCTGTACACCGTAAATACCCTGTGAGGTGAGTTTGGGGGTGTTCAGCGCATTCACAGACGTATGTATTTACACATGATGATTCCTCAGCCCTTTATCTCCAAGTCTGGAATCTCTCTGCTCCCTGAGGGCAAATTCCTCTTCCCTCCTGCTCCTCCCAAGGCTCCCTCCACAAAGAGGAATGCAACATTATCCATTCCCCAAATGGTCTTTTTGCTGCTGTTGCAAATGCTCCCGCAGGGTGACTGAGGGTAGGAAAGGCAGACCCGGCGCGACCGTCCTCTCAGCTGCCTTTGCCCAGTTTACACGGTGTAGATGTTCCTTGGCGTCTTCCGTGTTGCGTGAAGGTGGTGCCTTTCATTCGGCTGAGAGTTGCTTCTTCCTGAGCTCTGGAGCCGAAGAGGATTTTTGTGAGGAAAGCCTGTGTACCATGACCAGAGTTTAACATAAAGGTGGCGTGTGCCTGGAGACGGGTGTTCATCTCTTCTCTGTCCTCCCTGTTGTGTTCCTTACCACCTACTATGGTACAACTGGCTCTCTCCTGGGGTTTTCTATCTCTACCATCACTTTTTTCAAATTTGGTTGAAAAAACCCTACGTGGAGCATCTTCATCCCCTCCTGCCTCTTTTCTCTGTATGACTATTGACCTGTTTGTCCTCATGGAAGCATACGGCATTCTTCCCGAGTTTCTCAAATCCTTCCCACTTACAAAAAGACATTGATGTGGCCATGTGGAGCACAGGAATTAAAGGGTATGTTGAAGAGTCCCAGATCATCTACAAGCATAGTCCTGGTGTCAAAAGTGATTGCAAAAGACATTTAAGTACCTTGCATTAAGTACCTGTATAACTATTCACTTCCCAGATTTGTTTTTTGCACAAATCAACACTATCCATTTCTGGGCACTCCAGTGCCATCTTCCGAGCAATGGGCAAAGCAGTACAAGGCTGTCTACCAACCTTCCTGGGCTGTTACCCACTACGATTTATTTTTCATTGCTGGCTTTCTGAGCAGTGCGTGTTGAAGTTTGCTACCAAGTCTGCTCCAAATGATCCCGGTGTTTATCCTGTCTATCTTCAGCAGTGCGTCCAAAGAGGGAAAAACAAAGGCACAATTTGCAACCTGGAGCCACTGAGTTACCTCACCCTGAGCTCTTGGAAGTGGAAGGAAAGAAGATCAGGCAGGGTGTAGTGGCACATGCTGCTGAACAATGACAAGACCATTATCTAACCTTTTAATTCATAATTACTTAAAACTAGACACAGCATCTCCACTGGGGCCTGAGGACTTAGAACGTGGTGGCTTGGAATCAGGGACTGTTCTCAAGAGGTAAAAAAGTCATTGGAGAAATCAAGACGGCCTCCATCTCAGTGTGCAGTGAGCTTTCATCTGGGCAGCAAATTGTAGTCTCCGCATTCTGAATGATCCTGGCATCCCTCAACAGCAGAGATGGAAAAGACACTGCTATATTTATTTCATTTGAATACCCCAGTGGGACAATCTTATCCCAAGAGAAGGGTTTTACCCCTTCAAGTTCAAGAAAAAAAGGAGCCAGAGAAGGGGCAGGGAAGCTTGTGACAAGTGGTAAAAGAGAGCAATTGGCGCCTTCAAGTTTGATAACTGAGCTGGACCGGTAAGTTGTAATGATCAGAGAAGAGGTGTAGAAGGAATTTCACACAGTTGGAAATACCTAATATTTAGGTATGAAACTATGAAAGTTTAGGAAATGATATTGCAGTCATGATGGCAGGGCTGTCTGAAACAGGGAAATGAGAACGAGCCCTTGTTGGAAGGCAAAAATCAGGAACAGAATTAATCCAAGGAATTCAGAAATGAGAAGCCCTCCCCCCAGTTACCAGTGTAATCAAGTACAGAACAAGAGGAGTTCATTAAGATCATAATTTGATTTCTTAAAAATCAAAGTTTTTTGACTGAAGTCGAAGAACTGTTGGCTGGAAGGCACCTCTGGAGGTATCTATCCCATCCTTCCCCCACTGGAAGTGGGATCATTGCTGACTTGGATCACCTCAGCTGTGGCTTTCTCTACATGACTTTTAATTTTGAGAAACACAGGTCCCACAGCTCCTCTGGACACCCTGATTGAGTTCTGTGCTGTCTTTCTAATGACTCTTTTCCTTCCTACTGCCCAAGCTGAACTTCCCAAGCTGTGGCCGTTGCCCCTTCTCATGTCATCTGGCTCTAGCAAGAGTTGGGTGCTGTAATCCTTGTAGTTTTACTTTGGTATTTCTGTGCCTGCATCACTCAAATTGGTGGTTAATCTATCTCGTTCAGAAGAACTGCAAGTGTTCCAAAAGCATTTCTTTAGAGGAGGTAACTGCAGACTGCCGCACCGTACCCAGTACTCAGATTATATCAATCCGTTACAATGCCGCCTCTGTCTGTGACAGAACTGTTTTGGTGTCATATCTGAGCTGGGCGATATTCGGAAAGGTTTTGTTACAACTTATGTTGCACCTTGAAAATACTCACAGCAGTCTGCTCAGAAAAAAGGGTATCTGCTTAAGGAATTAACGATGCTTCCATGTCAGAGATCCTAAAGTGGGATCCTGGCTTGTTTGGCTCTGGATTGTAAATGTTTACATGGATCGACTTTTCCCAGGGCAGGGAGTGACAGGACAAGGGGTAACGGGTTTGAACTGAAAGAGGGAGACTGAGATTGGACATCAGGAAGAAGGTCTTCCCGCAGAGGGTGGGGAGGCACTGGGACAGGCTGCCCAGAGAAGCTGTGGATGCCCCATCCCTGGAAGTGTCCAAGGCCAGGCTGGATGAGGCTTGGAGCAACCTGGTCTAGTGGAAGGTGTCCCTGCCCATGGCAGGGGTGAGACTGGGTGGGCTTAAAAATCCCGTCCAACCCAAACCATTCCATGATTCTCTGACTTCAACAGACACTTTTACTCTGTAGTTGCCTTTAATGTCCTGGAATAGAGCCATGTGAATGCGGCTGAGAAGACAGCATTAAGAAAATTGCAGATAATGGTGGGTATGATAACCCAGCAGATACCAGGGTGAGATCTGCTTTTCACCCACACCACCCTCAGGAAAGTAAAACCTTGTGCTTTCTGTGCTAAACGCCTTAGGATGACGTTGTTTGGTGTCACTCAAGATATGGGTTATTTAGGGTTCATTAGCAGACAGAATGCTTGTGATTTGACATGGCATTTTTTTGTAAGGCTCTTGTATTTGAACTGCGCTGAAATGAGTCCTGACTGACAGCTGAGTGTTGGAAAGTCATTAAAAATAACAGTCTTTTGTGGTATTAGTGGCTGTCATGGGAAATGCTTTTCCCCCCAAATTATCTTTTATTTAAGTTTCTGGTGTTGTTAAAGGAGGAGAGCCTTCGAGCATGGAGCAAAGCTTAGTGTGTTTGTACAGCGTCAGCTTCTCATGCCAGAAGCTCTTCTAAATTGGCATCCATTAACCTGGCACGTCCGTGGCTTCGGGAACACCATCCTTCAATACCTTTTTTGCCTTTGCAGCTTGTACAGATTATTATAAATACGACGCACTTGGAGAAATCCTGCAAGTTCCTAGAGGAATTCATAACCAATATCACTAATGTACTTCCAGAAACTGTCCACACCACGAAGCTCTACGGGACCACAACCTTCAAGGTGAGAAGGCTGGTAGATCCATCTCCAGGGGGTCGCTGTTGATGTTTGGTTGGAGAGTATCTGCTTTCGAAGCGCCTGTGTGGGCGTGTGGATGTAGGGAGCTAAGCCCAACTGAAATTTTGTCATATCCTGGGAAGCTTTATGCTATCAACTAGCTTTTGGGTTTGTCCTTTGGAGCATTACTTCTGACAAGATAGTGAGTGTTTGCAGCCCTAATTTAGAGGCTGTGGCTGCAGCATGCATTGTCTAAGGGATGAAGCAGCTTTTAAACAGAAACCTGATTATTCTTTTTTTAAATCAGTTTTCATTTTGCTGTTTGAGCGCTGCATGGTGTTACACATGTCTGGCCATGGGCGCAAGCTCTCCTCTTCCACTCAAGAGGAGAACAGATTTTCAGTACTTACATTTCTGTATCTTTCCGCTCCTTTTAGCAGTCTCCCCTAAAAATCAGGGCTGGCAGAAACTGCTAAACTGCCCAGTCTTTCAGTCTTTAAATCACAACCCAGGAGTGTCTACGCAGATACCTGATATAAAGGTTTGAGGCTATAATTGGGTCTGCTGTGGGGTGTCCAAATCGTGTCCCGTGGCCAAAAAGCAGGAGATGGGAACAGCGCTGAGGACTCCAGCGATGGTAGGGAATTGTTTAGCTGAGGTTTGCCCTTGGAATAACTCAGCAGGAGACTGAGGACCCATGTCCAAGTCCATTCATTATCCCTTCTGGCATCACCTATCTATTTGGCCTAAGGGCGAGTTTTCATACCCATATCCTGGCAGGGGGACTCCCCTGTGACCCTCCTGCACCCCATACCTGCACACAGTAGGGAATGTCCATATGGGACATTCCTCTCCCATATATCTCTGTCTTCCATCCGGCACTAGATTTGTCCTGCTGGTCCCCACGTTGCGTCAGAGGCAGACACCAGCTTGACCTGGCCTAGCGCCAACCTGGTGGCGCCCACCCCTGAGCTAACCCGAGGTGGCTGCTATGGGTGCTTTGTCTTGTGCGACCTTCCGGGCTGAAGATTGGGTCAAGCACATGTCCTGTTCCTTGTGTAGACTTGTGGTGTGGAGACCCCGTCCCGCCTAACGTCGTCTGCTTTCGCAGGACGCCCGCCACGCTGCTGAGGAGGAGATTTACACCAACCTGAACCAGAAGATAGACCAGTTCTTGCAGCTGGCGGACTACGACTGGATGGCCATGGAGCCGGGCAGCAAGGCCAGCGACTACCTTGTCGATCTCATTGGCTTTCTACGCAGCACGTTTGCTGTGTTCACCCACCTCCCGGTAAGCGATCACCACCGATTCGCCGCCTTTTGCTGTCCGGAGAGCGCGCGGGCATCCCATGGTGCTCTTGAAGCTAATGGTTGCTCAAGCTTTATGGAGTCTGATGAAGTAGACCCTTGTACTTTCAAGTGTTATGAAATAACAAATCTATTTACAAAGCTATTTTCTGTGTTGCCAGAAGTTGGGTGACAGCGAGTCTCCCCGAGTATTTGCACGTCTACTTAGATGTGAACGAGGGGAATATCGCAGTCCAGCATGTAGAATTAGGGTCATAATTCTCTAGCCACCTATATTTTACACGTATTATCTTTAGCTTAATGGACATTCAGGATTTTTTTCAAGAGGTCCCAGTGTAAGAGTGCCTATTATTTAATCCGCAGATACGTTTCCAAACGTTTGTCAAGTCACTGGATGCCTTACGTCAAAATATTGCTCTGCGCTGGAAGGCAGCATATGTTTCTTTCTTTTCTCTGCTGTCTAAAATACGCCTGTGTTTATGCTGTTATTGCGATCAAAAAAATGTATTTTATGTTGTTTTTTGCAGTTGGCTGAGTAGTGTCCCGTTGAATAGGAAAAATATCAGGGATTTTCATTTTTGTTCAAACTGCTTTTTTTCCTTTAAATAAGATTTGTTCTGATCTGTCTGGATATATACTTAGGACTGTCTTCCATCAGCAGCTATTTTGAAATAGCAAATCCACTGAACACTATATTTGTCCTAAAAGCAATTTCAGGTCTTTCTTCTTTGCTGGACCGTTATTTATCTGTTGTTAGTGGGATTACAGGACACCAACAAACTCTGGGCACCTTTCACCAGCTTGGATGTAAACAGGAACAAAAGACTAATCAGACACAATGGCAGTTTCCTTAACTCCACTCTGCTTGTTCGTGTCGCTGAGACTGCTCTACTGGAAGGATGTACAAGCATTCCAGAGCCGTTTTAGGAGGCGTTGCAGCCCCAGAACTTTGGAGTCTTCTGCATGGCTCATGTCTTTGGTCTTCTCTGTCACAGCAGGAAGATTTGGGAGCCAGATGGAAATGAGGGCTGATCTGCTGTGGATGGAGAAGCCACCAAAAGAGATATGAGAGTGGCTTTCCCAGTCCTCTGTGCCTGGAGGTGCTGTTGAGGAGAAGGTGATTTTTTGGGTCTGTTATCACTGGAACAAACCTCTAAATAGAGTGTTGCCTCCTGTGTAGAGAGGTTGGAAGGGCTTTCCCTCATCTTCTTGTTCAGGCCAGGTTTATTGCCAAAGTGACCCCTCCTCAGCAATGTGGCTGGTGGCACAGGAGGTGCTGGAGATGGCTGGATTCCTCAGCTGCTGGATTTCTCCTTAAAAAGAGATGTGGTGGCACAGGCGTGGTTTATCACCTGGAGACCATTTCCACAAATCATACTGGGAGTACTTACGCAAGCAAGAAATGGAATTTGACAGGGAGATTGGTCTCTGCACCAGAGCATGAAGCATGGCTAGCAGGAGAGATGAAGATGGGGAGAGATGCCCACAGTGATTTATGAGATGGACCTGGAGTGATTTATCTTCCTTAAGTATTAATGTTTCCATTCTGAGCAAGTCAAAATTGTTTTGGAGACTGGGAGGACAGCTAATTGGTCTAAAAAGGACTGAGACAGATCGAAGCAGCCTTTTCTTTTCCAGAACTGGATTAGAAAGGACCCAGCTGAAGAGAAGACTGTGTGCATTTGCGGTGCAGCACCTTATCTGCAAAGCATTGCACGGCACTGATCCTCCTGACAGCCTCGTGAGACAGGGGAGGCGAGTCACTCAGATGCTGCCTTCTGGTTTGTGAAGCTGTAGGTCTGGTTCAATGGTCTGTAGGAGACGCAGGGCCGGGATTTATTTTTATATATATTGGAGTTCCTTCCTTTAGATGAGAACTGTGAAGCTGCCATCATTAACATTGCTGACGAGTCCCTGCGTATCCCACACATGGGAGTCAGAACAAAGTCAGGGTACATTGAGAAGCTCCCTTGGTGTCTGCTGGTTTGTTCTTGTAGGGTTCAAGAGCCATTTTCCAGTGGCTTATTTAGAAACACATTACAATTTCTGCACTTCGCTCAATGAGATGTAGGAGATAAGGCACATCGAAGCCCACGTCTGCCTAAACCAATGCAGAAAAATGATGGAGATGTCTATGGAAACAGCAATTATGTGGGATGAGTGAGAGGGGTTCAAGAGGGGAAGGAACTATCTCCAAAAAGTGTGAATTATAAGTAAAAGAGGATATTGAAGGATTGCTAGTGGCTAGGTAGAGCTGTTTCTATACAGCTTGTCTGAATCCAGCCCAAATTATTTGCACCGTAGCGTTATGATCTAAGAGGAGTCGCTGCCTGGTTTGAAAAGAGTTTGCAGCCTATTCCTGCTATAAAACACAGGATTTCCACACTGCTAGTAGCTCTTGAAGACAAGCAAGTGACTCTGCACCATCCTTGGAGAGTTGAGCTTCTTAACCCTGGAAGTGGCCTCCAAGCAACACCATCCCTTTCTGTTCTCATGTCCTTTCCTGGTTTGGAAATTCCATGTACCTTCATGGTGACTGAATTTACACGATTTTAATGTAAGTGAGAAGCGCTCTCCTAGTATTTGAACTTGCAACAGTTTTTTAGGAGTAAAGACTGGCAGTCTCGGGAGATGACTAAGTGGTAGGAGCCGAGCTACTCACCTGCCTTTTGTCACGACAGCAATTACACCAGATAAACCTTCACCTGCTGATCAAAGAAACTCAGCCTGGGCATGTCAGCGTTTACTGTGCTGAAATTACACTGACAAAAAGCACTGTCCTGTAACAGAACGGAGCCGAAGGTCCTGAGCCTGCAAAAATGCAGGCGGCTCCTTAACTTGACGGGTGTGAGTAATCCCATTGTCTCGGACGGGGCTGCTTGTCTACAGGAAACCTTTCTGGGGTCAAGGCTCCAGCTGGCCGCAAGGCACATCAAATGGCCTTGAAGGGCTTGGTTGACTCAAGTCAACGTTTCGGAGAGGGGTTGAAGAGGAGAAGAGATGCTGAGCGAGCTGAAAGGTGGCTCTGAGACAGGATTTGGGCATTAGGGTTTGTGTTTCCCTTTTTGGATACATGAAGCTGAATTCTCCCTGTATTTATTGAGGGGAAAGAATCTCAGAAGGGTTGAGGTTGGAAGGGACGTGTGGAGGCCATAGAATCACAGAATAGTTTGGATTGGAAGGGATATTTAAAGGTGTCTAGTCCAATCCCTCTGCCATGGGCAGGGACACCTTCCACTAGACCAGGATGCTCAGTGCGCGGGCGCCCCTTCCACTAGACCAGGATGCTCAGAGCCCCGTCCATCCTGACCTGGAATGTTTATGGGGATGGGGCAAGCAGGTCAGCAGGTCCACCCCCCTGATCAAGCAGGAAAAATAACCCAGACCAAAGCTAGTCCCGGCGTGTGGAGCGGCGTAAAGAGTCTCCGCTTTCTTTAGCCTTCAAGCACGAGTTGCAATCCCTAATTGTTCCTTTGGAGCATCAGAGTAGACGTTGTGGGAGATGGTGGAAACCGCTTGATAGTAGGAAACCCTGGAATTGATTTGCTTTTTGCAACTTTGCTTCGGGACGCCGAGCCCCACCGCCTGCGAAGGACATGCTGGTGGGTACAGCGTGTGCCGGGCTGGGGGAAGGAGGAAAAGTTCACGGTGAAGTTAACGGGGTTTTGGTGCATACCACTTCTGCATGAAATTTTCATGGTGGTTTAGAGCCGCAATTCGAAAATGCTCCGCTAAGTGCCCAAAATGTCTCAAAGCAAATAACACGCTGGTGGAAATCAAAGCGTAATTAACATTTGGCTGCAAGGCTGCCCTCTTCCTGTGTTAACCAGGGAGAGTCGGTTACTGCTGCTGAGCTTATTAATATGGGATGCTCGGGCCTCCTTTAAAAGAAAATACTTTTTTTTAAAAAGAAAAAAAATACTTGGGGGAAAAAAGTATTTTAGGAAAGAAAAAAAAGATGGTTTCTGGTTTTCAGCAAGTAAAGGGCCATGGCCTCAAAAAAATTAACATTTCCAGCGTAATACTTTTAAAAGAATGACTGAAAAAGCCTTTTGTCTTTGATGGCTGATTGTTGTTTTTATTTCTTGTTAGACAAGTTAATGTAAATCGCATTGACAGGGCTACTCCAAACACACTGATTTGTTGACATTAAGCGTTTCAAAGATGGAGGGTTGTGTCAACACCTACAGTGAACTGTCAGGTTAACAAAGCAAGGATGTTTTCTTGGGGGAGGGGAGTGGAGTTGGGGGGAAGGGGGGGGTGTTTTGTTTTTATTTTAAGTTTCCTTTAATCCTCTGTTAGTCTTGTATCTTGATAACCTCCTTTGGAAGGTAATCAGGGCGGGTCAAGAGGTGATGCTGACCCGGGAAGGGGAAGCAATCTTTCAGCGATCGAACAAACTCTAACCTCAGCTGTCTTGAGCAGTTCAGCGTGAACTCTCTGCAAAGGGGTTTTTTGGGTTGGTGGTTTTTTTTTTTTCCTTTTATGCTTATTTTTGCCAGATGGCAGGCACAGATTTCAGCCGGAGCCGCGTGAACTCCACAGCCGCTCTGCCTGCAACGTTTTTGCCTTATTCACTGTATTGGCATCTCTTCCCGGTTGCAAATAAATACGCCGGCCACAGCAGCTCTTGCTTTGGTAGGAAGAGCTTTGGAAGTGTTTATTTTCTTTTTAAAGAGAACGATTACCTATGTTTTTATTTAAAAGAGCCAAATCCCTCTGTAATATTTTAAAAGGCAAGGCACTGTGCGTGGAAGTAAAATGCCTTGAACTTTGCACCAACCACAGCCTTGACCACGCTGGGAGGGACCCACGTGGAAAATAACGGTCATGAAATATGGCATGTGCACCAAAGGCACCTTCTTGAGATTTACACAAGTCCTGTCTGTGCTGAGATAATGTCCCCTTGCCCTCAGAAGGGCCGAGCAAGTTTGGCTTGAGCTGATCCCTGTTGTCACTCTCTAGGGTTTGACATCCAATGCCTCCATCTCACGGGGGGAAAAGCTGAGGCAGGTGGATGCTGACTTGCAGGCGGTACTTAATAGCAATAAAACTGGTCTTGTGGTACTTTGATTTCCTCCTCATCCTCCTTAGACCAGGTTCAAGGAACCCATATTTTGCTTTTTTAATACTCTGCCAACTGCTGCGCAGCTGGTGCCGTGGTTGGAGCGTTGGTGGGTTGTAGGGTGGTGACCTCGGTGTACCTCTCTGCCTTTCTCGCTGTTGCTTTGCTCTCTCTGCTGCATTTGACTTTAAAATCCCTGTGTTGTCCTCTGTAGGGGGATGTAGATGTCCACTCTACAATGTCGGTGAGTACAAGACTGCGTGTCATGCGCGTTTGGTCTGCTCTGCTTGCACCTCGAGCGTGAGAGGGTGAGTTGAACCAGGAAAGGTCCTTAGTCTTGGAGAGGTGGAAAGGAAAAGATTGAGTAGAAGGTTAAATCAGTGGGATAAATAAGAGACCAAGGGAAAGGGTTTCCTTACAGCCAGGTTGCTCACAAGCTTGCTGTAGCAGTAGCAATCCTAAATTGTTGCTTTTAGAGCACGTTGCGTTTAACTGGCGGCTGTTATCCCCCACACATCCCTAAATGTGTGGGGAATTAGGGGAAATGCCTGTAATTAGGGAAAGCATGGTGGGATCTTCAACCTCTGCTTGAAAGAGAAAAGATCTTTGTAAAATCCCCCCTCGCTCCCTCTATTTTGTTCAGACAAAACCCTCGTGGGGATTTCAGCCTGACGTTCCTCCTGGTTTAAGTGCTCTGACCCGGGGCTTGGCCCGCTAAGCCTTCCCTCCGGCTAGAGTGGTAGGATAGTATTTTATCCAGAAAATAGCATGGGTTCTTGAGGTTTACTATCTCCCTATTTGGATTAGGCCAATTAGCCCAGAGAAAGCAAAGGAGACCTTTCCGACCTGCCTTCTGGTTCAACGAACCCCTCTAATTGTTGTCATTTCTGCTTGTTTCATGTGCGGGAGGAAAAAGCTGCAGCATTTCCGTGGATAGATCACAAACAAAGTGCTCTCGAGCTACCTTGTTTTCCTCTATTCCCGTGTCTGCAAGCCAAGGCACGTGCGAGCAAAGCGTGCCTCCCTGTTTTTGTCGGTGCAGCCCTGCTCAACGCGGTTGCGCGGCGCGAGACGCGGCCGTCGCGGAGACGTAGCCTCTACCCCAGCTTCTGCTTCTCCACCTTTAACCCCTGCTCTCCATTTTAATGCTGAGCTGCCACGGTAGTATTGATATTTCACGCCGCAGTTGGATGCCTGTACCCCTTTTCCTGGAAACTGAGCGTAGCTAAGCCTTGAGTATTTGCAGGCTCTGGGCACCCAGGGGTTTCTAAGTCAACAGCGAGGTCTCAAATCAGCGCCAGCTTCTGGAAAGAAAGAACCTTGTTAAAGCAATTTGAGGCCAGCTTCCATCAAAGCCATGGCTTGGTTGCTGTCAGGGCTGCGGGAGCTGCTGGGGAGCAGGCAGGGAAGCCCTGGGCATCCCCCCACGGCCGCGGGTTTCCAGGAGCAGCGTTGAATGTCGACCATCCTACGTGATGTCCTTCGGGCATCCCCTGAGAGAGGCGTACCCTAAAGTGCTATTGCCTCTGGCTTTTCAAGACTCAACTGTTTAGAAGCCAGATGTATTTATTTCTTTAATTGAATCCAGTGCCTAGACAGCTATGGAGTCAGCTTCCTATGGAGAGGGGTGCATTAGTTTCATTAAGGTAAATCAGTGAAAAATAATACCTGGAGGTCCCCTGGAAAGGGTCAGGAATGGAGTAATCCCTTTATATGGTGGGACTTTGCTAGCCTGCTCGTAGTTGGTTTTGGAATCTGCAACAGATTCTAATTTTCCTTTTAACCCCTCTAATTTTCTCTTCTCTAACTAGTTTGTGTTAATTGGTGGAAATAAATCACTAATCTGTCTGTCTAAAAGAGATTGAAAAATAAAAATTGGATTGCATGAAATATCAGACAAAGGAGTCGTCGTAAGGGAGTTTAAAATGTCCAGTGGGAGGTAGCTGTGGCTAATCCTGGAGGTTTCTTGGTGTTGTAGGTACAGTCACACATTAAAACAAGCGAGGTGCCTGGGATGCAGACGTGGACAGGGCATGAGCAGCATCCAAAACCCTCCCTGTATGGTCCTTGGGGTTCCTCTGCTCTCCAGAGAGGATCTGAGTCTCTTGGGGGGTTGCTGGGACCAGCTTGCCCTGAAGGTTGGGCAAAACGCCCTTAAAACGAGGGTGTTTGGTGAGGAGAAGATGGGTGGGTGACCAGGGCAGCACTTGCATGGCTTGTGGTCCCGCACTGCCCGCCTCGCTGCGGTCTGGTGGCTGTGCACTGCTTTCCTGGTCTTCTCAAGTGTCTCCAAAATCCCAAATACTTACCAAAACGAAGGAGTCAAAACAAGAACTAATGGCTGCTTTAAAGCCAGGAGCAAAGCGTTCAAATACGGTGGATTTAGCTGTGTTGGCGGGGGAGAAGGCTGACCTCTGATTAACCCAGGAGCGCTAGTTAACTCGAATCCGGGTAAGCCAAGTTATCTTGTAATTACATGGTTTCTTGTCTGCTTTCAGCACTTTGAAAATTAATTGAAGCTAAAATGCCCAGTCCCATAAATCCTTTAAACCAGGGTGTGCACACTTCCCTCGGTATTGCATCCCTTTGTGTAGTCACCCTGGCATGTTTGGCTTTGATTTTTATTTTACAAACGTAGATTTATAAAGGTATTTTATGCTTCTTTTATGTGCACGTACATACACAAGGAGTCAGATCTGCGGGATGGGGAATTTGGCAGCCAAAAATCCATCCTCGGCGTAAGGAAGCCAAACATGCCTGCTGCTTCCTGCACCGGAGCCCCAGCCTGTACCTTCCAAAAACCTTAACAGAAGTTAAAGTATGGTGGGGGTTTTTTTGCCCTTTAGCAATTTTAAGTGTAACAATAGACTTGGCAATTACACACTTTCCTCTTATTTAATCCGCTGGCAACCTGGAATCTTGTCGGGCTTCTCAGAGGTTGTGAACGTGCGAAGGAAGGCTGATGAACACATCTGCTCCCAAAGCCTTTGGCTATTTCGCTTGATCCAACCATCCTAGAGGAGCCCAACCTGGCAGTACGATGTCCTTTGGGGTCCCTGCGCAGAGATTGCGTGCATCGGGGTCGCACGGAGAAGCGGCGGGAGCTCGTGCCCATCATGCGGAGCCGGTAGCCGCGTGAGTGCCCATGTGTGCTGCTGGTGTGGTTGGCGTGGCTGCAATGAAGGACACGTGGCCTCGTGACTGTCGTGGGGGTGCCTTTACGGAGAGCAGTGTTCTCCCTGGATCTTGCAACCTAGGTTAGATGGAACAGCAAGAAAGCATTTAAAAAGGGCAGGTCCTTACGGAGTTCTCATGATCGCTTTGGCCATGGTGTTTCACGGAGGGAAATAAATAAGGAGAGCCCGATGGGTTAATTAAAAAACCAACTTAACAGTGATTTCTACAGCTTTCACCATCATCTTTTTTCTTCTGTTTTTCAACTATAACATCTAAACATTGAAAATGGAAATGTAACGTATGATTTCGTTTTTAGAGAAATGTAGAATGAGCTGAAGCTTCGTATGCTGCTTGTGTTGGTCACTCGGTAATCGGCTCTGTGTGGAAAAAAAGTACCTCCCGAGCTGGGCGTTGGTGGCTCGTGGAGTGGAAATGGAGTGGGTGAGTTTTTGTTTTTCTGGATTTGAGCTCATCCGTTTTTTTCCAGTCTGTTCAACATCTGGGCCTTAAGTCACGCATTAGTTGGGTTTCCAGCAGGCGGCCCCTACGTCACGGCAACGTGCCGACTCTTCCTTCGGCATCTCGGCAAGCAGAAAATCTGCGTAAACGGGGAACGTGGAGCGTCCGTGTGTGTGCAAAGGGTGAGAAACCCTTGGTGTCGGCGTGCCGGAGGGCTCCACCGTGAGGGTGAGTGCAGCATGCTGCGCTCCAAGCCTCAAGAGCTTTACCCTTTTATTTATAATGTCAAATTATAATTATAAAATTACATAGCAAAGATGAAGCAATTCAGTTCGCTCTCTTTAAGTCTTCCTACTGCCTTAATTGGCAGATGCTTTGCCCTGATAAATCAGCAGAAAGAAGCGTGGTTCTAGCTCTTCGTACGTTAGGGGAAAAACTAAAAAAAAATCTGTATTTAATCAACTTTTTGTTTCCAAAATGGCAGCTGCTTTGTATTTAATGGAAAATCAAGCTCTTCCCAATGGAAAGAATGTAATTCCCAAAGCGAATACAAAAGAAAATAAAAGCCACAAAAGAGGAGGATGAAATATGTCATTTATTTTTTTCATTCTCTCGTCCGTTCCAGCTTGGGGAGCCGCGCGCTGCGATCATGGTCAGGCCGCGGCTCTGGATTGTGTCAAGTAGCTGGGAAAGTCTCAGCCTGTGGACACGGGGACTGGGAGAGAGCCTCGTTCCACGTTAGGAGGCACACATCGGACCGAGAAAAACTGGGGCTCCTTGTGTGCGTAGAGAGACTCATTAAATGGAGGTTATTGATGGGTTAATTCCTTGGCAGGCTGAGGTGCCTCTGCTGTTGGAGCTCCGTGTTTTTCCCTTGACACCTCTCGTGTCAGCGTCTTGGTGCCTTTTTCAGAGGGAAATGATCTTTGTGGAGACCCAAGTGATGAGCATGGGAGGAGGAGAAAAATGGGGAGCATCAAGCCCATGCCTTGTCCAAGCCCACCCAACTGGTCCACGGGTCACCATCCTCTCCCTGGGGTTGCAGGGAACCTATAGCACCGAACTTTCTGGGTCTGCTGTGTGTGTTTACTTGCACTGTTTGCTCTGAAATGCCTTTAAATGTTGGAAAATTCATACTTAGTGCTGGGGGCAGGTTGTCAAACTGCCGCCGTGGCAAGTCAAAAGCCCCAGGTTTGTAGAGGTCAGTCAATGGTGCAGTTTAGTCCAGGGTTCCCCACAATTCTGGGCCAGGGATGGTGAGCCACGCTGTGGACATACCCTTTGGGAGAAGGAGAAGCAGTTTGGGCTGTTGTGACGTGCTCTGTTCTTGTATTTTGGGTTTTGTGGGGGTTTTGGTCGCTGTTTCTCTGCTGGTCCCTGCACTTCCCTGTCTCGTGATGATGTTTCTCAGCACAAGAAGGTGGTGCAGGCGTTTTCAGTGCAGCTCTTAACAGCCCAGAGTATTTATAGAGCAGGTAGATGGGAGTTTTTTATCATTTATTGTTTAAAGAAGAAGGTCACATAAAGAACGCAGAAGGTGGCAGATTCGGATGGGAGTTTGATGCCACAGGCTGAACCTCCAGCCCGATGGGAGAGTCGGGGTGAGAT